TGGAAGGCCGCGCTGTGGACGGCCGCACAAGCCGACTCGGCATACTGCCGCCGTCTGGCGTACCTACTGCTGGAATCAAAGACCAAGCCGCCCGTGGCGGGACAGGCGCGGGAGAGTTGAAACTTGTGGGCGAAGGCGGCCACGCTGGACTCCACGTCTCCCTCCGGGGTGGTGAATTCCTCCTGCTGGTTCCAGTTGTACGTCCCGCAAAGGCCTCGGACCTGGAGCAAAGCGGCAGGATGTAGCCGGGTTCCCCAGCTAGACCTGGCCCTGTTGCCTCCCGCTCAGTCCCAGGGAGCCACCCGGAGCTGACTCGGGGCTTCGGCTCTTACGGTGCCTGGTACATATTATCCATTGCCAGTTGCGGTGGGGACCGCTGGCCATGCCGGAAAACAGCAGCCGGCCCAAAAATAAAAAGTAATGGGGGGGGGGGAGGGAGGGAGGGTGGACTCCTGAAAGAGAGGGATGCCACTCTGCAGATCCAGATGGCGTCGGTCCCCAGGAAGGAGGTGGCAACTGCCCCACGCACGGAGCCAGTCTTCTGCCCCACCCCAGCCCTGGTTTTAAATACATTCCTCCCCCCACCTCCCCACTGTCCCTGTCACAGAGCTGGGGACTGTCTCCCCAGGAGGCACTGAGAAGCCCTTCCGAGGGTCACCTTGTGGGCGAAGCTAGGCTGGAGAGTGATGTAGGCGGCAGAGAACTCCAGCCCCCAGAGCAGGTGAGCCCCGAAGGCCTGGAGGAGCAGGAAAGACGAGGAGGCGCGGCGCACCGTCAGGTCGGGGTTGGCAAAAGGGAGGGTGACCTCCTGGCCATTCACAGAGACAGCCCCTGGGGGAAAAGAGGGACGCAGAGCAAGATGACCAGACGCCGGCAGGTTGAAAGGGGCTTGAGGGGGAATCGCCCGACTTGGGAACTACCCAAAACTCCTGCAACCCTTCCAGAGAAGCCACAACAGCAGAGGGGGAGGAGGGGGCCTATGGCCACGGCCGTTCTCCATGCTCTTGGAGCCAGTGCGCTGTCTCCAAAAACGAAGGAGACCTTAGCTAGAGATGGACGCCTGCAGAGGCTCGTTCCATTTCAGAGTGGCCTCCATGTTTCTATGGATGGGTGGCAGGAATGTCTTCTCTCCAGGAGACAAACCCACCTTCAAGCCACATTCAGTTCACAGATGAAACCCCCATTCCCGATTTCCATGAGCTGCCTCCAGTGTGACCTCCCTTTGTGGCAGACCTGCAGGGCACTAGCAGGTCACTCAGAAGGCCCACCCGAACCTGGCCTTGTTTCAAGTCAACACGTCAGACGCCTTCTTCAGCCTGGGTCCTCCCAAGAAGGGGGCCGCTGCTCCCATTCTTAAGCCAGCTCATCTCTCTGCCAGTAGGGGAGGGAGCTGGGCCCCAGCCCCTCGGGAGGAGGTGTGGTGCTCTTCTTACCCACCAACGGCGGCTGTGCAAACCCTCTGGCTCACCCGTGAAGGACAGCCGGGCCGAGGTCTTCTGCACAGTGACGGTCACAACCCGGAGGCAGCTGACGGCCCCTTGGTTCCCACACGGCTCGTTCTCTGCGTCAATCTGAATCTTCCCATCCACAAAATCCTGTGAGAATAAAACCACTGCCAGTTTGGGATGGGCCTTCCACCGATGGCTGCCACCCCGGTGGTTTAGCAACTGGGGAGAGAGAGCACCAGGACAGGTCCTTGTGCCACCCTCTGACGGTGCCCTAAAGCAGCCACATTTCGTGCAGTGCGGTTTTCCGGAGAAGGCTCTCCTCACGTGCCTTGGGCCAGATGATCAGGCCCCCCACCTGCCTGTCCCTCACCTGCACCAGGATGTACTGGCAGACACCGTGGAAGGAGTAGCGCTTGCCGTCGAAGGTCAGGTAATGCAGATGACCGTGGAGGACGCACTCCCCGGCACACCGATCCTGGGAGCAGATCCACTGCCCCCCTCGGCATGTGCTGTGGGAGCAAGGCAACGCGTCTGCATGAATGGGGGGTCTTCGGGGGGAGCCCTTGCCCTTCCCCCAAGCCAAGCCACCCTCTCAGCTGAAATTCAAACGTTCCGTGGGTTTGCCCACCACTACTTCACTTTGGGTTGGCTGCCCCCAAGATGTCTGCAGAACGTGGTCAAAAAAATCAAGATGGCGCCACAATGGTTGTTTTCTATGCACATCTCCTAAGTTTCTGTATCTGAGCCATCCCACCTTGAACCGCAAAGCGTCACCCTCCTTGGCGACCCACGGCTGTGATGCCCCTTCCAGCTCACCACTGGTTGCAGCGCTGCTGCAGCATCTCTCCTGGGCGGAACTTCTGCCGTCGGTGGAAGCAGGGGCACTGGCTCTTGGGGACGCAGGACCCCTCCTCCAGGTAGAGTCCTGGGGTGCATTCGCAGCCACTCACGCACTCCTGCCGGCAGTGGTCTCCTGCCCCCATCCCCACCGCTGCGCAACTGGCCGGGCACGACGACACGCAGTCCGTGTAGTGCTGCCCCCGGCCACACGGCTTCTCTGTGGGAAGGGAGCAAGCGAAGCCGCCTCAGGGGAGAGAAACCCCGAGCAGGCAGGAAGGTGGGCCTCAGCCCCTCCCCAGCTCCTGCCCTCGGAGCAAGGCTTCTTGGCCGGCTGGCGAGAGCGGGCAGCCGGGAAGCGCCGTTCAAGGCCCAAGCAGCTGCCCGCTCGCCCACTGGCATGGCACGGGTCCTCAGAGACGTTGCCACCTTGCCAGGGGCCGAACTCAGGGCCAGCTCCTTTGGAGGCAGCCCTAACAGCTGCTCTTTCCCCAGCGGGAATTCTGATCGAAGCACTTAAAAATGCTTGTAGAGTATCTTTTGCCATTCTTTCTGAGACTTGCAAGAACCCAGAGAACCCGGTGGAGAGGGGGGATCCCGGTGCACGTTCTGCCCTGACCCCCTACGCCCGAGGCTGGAGAGGTCCGGGGAACTGAGGTCAGCCTGCCCTGGAGAAATGCCTTTGGCGGGGAGCCTTAACGGAAAGGAGACACACCTTCCCTCGGGGTCCTGGTCAGGAAGGGGCAGCCAAGATTAGGTGCCTGGCACGGTAGCTGTAGGTCACCCAACCGGCTAAATCTGGGCTCCCAAATCTTTAACAAATGCATAGCTTTGGGTGCTGGAGTGATGCAGCCCTTCAGCCCAGACAAGGGAGGGTCCCTCCCCCCTTCGGGCCAGGCTGTGGGGCACCAGCCGGTCCGGCCCTTCAGGGAAGAAAGGAAACGTCTGGCAAAGGGGCTGAGGCTCATTCCTTGTGATCGCATCGTTCCCCTTGGAAATGCCTAGCAAAGGGGTCTAGCGGCCCAGGTCCACCCCACCCCCGGCGCTCTGCCCCATACCACAGAACCCAGGGTTTCTCCAGTTGATGAAGATGCTCTGCTGGGCACACTCGCGGGCATAGCTGGCAAAGGTCTCACAGGCAGCTGCAGGCCCTGCCCCTCGGCTGCACAGCAGGTACTTGCAGGTGTCTTAGAAACTGTGGGGTTTCCCCTGCCGTGGGCAAGGAGGGAGCACAGCCTCAGGGGGGGTTCAGGAGGGC